CCCCCCCCCCCGATTCCTCCACTGTCCTTTTCTTTAGTATCTGGATTAAGCAGTTTGCCAGGACCTGAATGCCTCTCGTGACATGCTCCTGAGATCCTGTCAGTGAAGCAGTTGCAGTCTCATGGCTAGAAGAACCAGGTGTAGGTGTGGAGCTGTCTGCTGACAAGAGGAAACACCCTGGGAAAACCATTGGCCTCCTTAGCTGGGAATCCCGTTTGCTCCTGCCAGTGAGCTCATTTGAAGAAGGGAGATAGTGATTGGATCAGGAGAAGAGTTGGGAGGAGATAGCAGGTGAATCAGACCATCATTGTGCAGAGGAAAAAGCCTCCTGCTACAGTGTATGGTGCAGCCGGCTGAAGGTGGAATAGGCTGGCACTGAGCGAGCAGAAGAAAGAAGAACTGTATGGAAGCTTAGTGTGCAAACAGGACTATTTTAAGGGAGGATACCGAAACCCAGCAGAGGCAGACAAAGTTGATCAAAGGAAAATGGGCAAGGGAACTTTCCAGTTTCTTGTAGGAGCCCAAGATTTTGCAGAGTCAAGGCATACTAAAGATGTAGAACCAGTTTTTTACTTCTCAGTGCACATCCAAAAGCTGGAAATATTAACACGTGCTCTCTCAGATAGTGTTAAAAAGGATAAATAAGATGTAAGTAGTAATTCATCAGATGTTTGTTTGGTCTGAACACATCATCCCTGAGTCTGGCCCTGCTGAAGTGCATCATTCGTCCTGCCTTCTAAAAATACAAGAGCATTTTGTCGTGCCTTTATTTTACAGTAAATATTTCTTTTAAATGTCACCAGAACAGATTTTGTTTCCATGTAATAGGAGTCAAATAGGAGCTTATATATATTTTTGTGTTTGTATGAGGGTGCGTGCGCGTGTGTGTATATATATATTCATATATATTCATATTCTGGCTGGCTGGGAACGATGGGAATTGAAAGCACTGGATTACAGAAGACAGCTTTAAAGACTATCAAATTGATTGCAGCCGAAGCCCTTATAAACTAGGGCTTGTTTCATTCCATTATTTATGTGTACCTTACTTTTTGACAACAATAAAGTAGAAGACACTAATACTGGATGAAATGCTGTCACAATCATAACCTTTATGAAGCACAGCAATGTGAATATTAACTGTGGCTGTTGGAAAAATAGGTGGGAGAGGCATTTCGTACTTGAGTACTCATCTGTAGGATGAGCAAGATTTGTGCTAAGTCTTGAATTTGTCCATACTGAGCCTCAAGTGTGCTATGGAGGTCAGGTTCTGATCAGATACTTTTTCCAGCTGCTCTGAGCATTAGTGACCAGTCCTGGCTTCACTGATTAGTTGAGTACTGACAGGTCACTGGTAGTCTCTCCTGCCCTTTGATTATTAGGACAGGACTCCAAATTATTTAGGATTTCGTCTTTCCTCCCTCTCACTGTTATACTTCTATGGGAAGGAGTTAGCTCTCCTCGGTTCCATTCATTCCCAGTACTGCAGATAGTTGTGAGAAGTATTCTGCCTAATGTCCACTCCTTTCACCAAGCAAGCCAGATTTCCTTCTCCGAAGATCACATATTTCTCCAGAAGTTTAGCTCTACCTCATATGATTAGACTGTGAGTAGGAACAGTCTCTTAACAGTTGCCCAGATCTGCTGACTGAGCCTTTCTGCACTTGAATGTAAGAACCAGGCTTACAGATTGAATCTTCAGCTGCTGTAAAGATAGGTTGGGAGGCCCTTTCTCTGCAGACCAACTCCAGCTCAGATACAGCTTAATATATTGGATAGCTTCACATACTCAAAGAAAGTAGGGTGTGAGAAAGTAGTGTGTGAGGTATTTCCACTGCATGTCCTTCTTACAGTTAATGGTAGCTTGATAGCCTACTCCCAAACTGGTGCTTAGATTCCTGTTAATCACATACCTCCCAGTCGAATACACTCCATGGTTGGTGTGTTATAGCAGAGATGAATTAATATAAATTCTCAGAGTGGTTCATTATCCTCTCTACAAGTACAGCCCTTGTGCTCAGCCGCATTGTGAGGGACTAACAGCCTCCTCACTGCCTTTCAAAAGTTCATTTTATCTAAATTCACTTGGAGGCAGTGAAGTGGGGAATGCAAAACTAAAGAAGTTCAAGGACCAAAGAACAATTAGGATGAGCCGCAAAATTCTTTTAAGCAACTAATGAGACAAATGGATCTCTAGATGAGTTAAAGTTAATGGTGCATTAAAGAAAGGCCGTGAAATTGCACAACCATTGAATAAAATCCCTGCATCCATCTAGAGTGCAGAAGAGGTAGGACAGATGCCATTATCTGAGATTATTGAATATTACCAAAGGATTAAATCAAAGAAATAAAAGCAACTTGCAGACAGCATCCATGCTGTTCAGTCAATGAAGTTCTAAGCCAGCTGCCTGCCTGTAGCCATGAGGCAGAAGCACCAGATATCCTGCCTTCCTGTTCAGTTTGCATCCAAATGTGAAATATTGCTGGTGACCTATTACCTTCAAGTGCTGTTGAATTTTGTGCTGAGGGGCTAATGCCCTGCAAAATTAAGTCCTGATCCATTGGAGCCAAATATAAGCCATTTTTCTCTAACCAGTAATTCTGTACTGCGACACCATGATTTAGTGCAAAAGAAGTATAAGGAGATTCTGGGTTTAGTTTTGATCCATGGAATTGGGGGTGAGCAGCACTATAGGTAAAATTAACTTACAAAGATAAAGTCTTCCTGATTTTGGAAAAGAATCTCACTGGTCTTTCAGGGTCTTTCCTAAGTGTCAAGCAAGATATTGAATAGTAATCCAAAAGCTAGGATGCTAGCAGAGTTAAAAAGGTTTTGCCCAGAAAAAAAAGAGAACAAAAAAGACTGTCAAAAGGAACATGGAGAATATTAATAAAATATTATTTTATTATAAAATTAATACAGTAAGACCAACAGTTGAAAAATATTTAAATATACCAGATGTGGTTGATCAATAATGAAGTTAAAGGAGGAGGTTGTAGAAAAGCCACATGAGTTATTTATGACTGGCTTTGCTCAAAAAGTATTTGAATGGATATTTTAAGCAGATGGGTGTAACTACAGGTATGTTTTTAAGTTCTCAGAATTCTCTGATGCAGCTGCAGTCAAACCAATTAATCTTAGTTAAAATACAAAACCAGTATAAAGGGCAATATGACGCCAGCCAATGTTAATTAGTTGCTTCAAACAACAGGTATCAGTCTTGAGGGGAAAACAGTACTCTAAAAAGAAAGGCTTTTCACAGTCTTTCTGAACACAACTAGGGCTCTGATCTTGCAGGCCCCATCTACTGAAACGAGGTGTGCCGTGGCCCT